AATGTCAACGTTTCTTTTAACGTAGCTAGTTAGATTAACTAATTTGGTAACTTTTAACTGTTTAACTAATTTATCGACATTGATTAAACTTAATTTAACTTTAGTTAATTATTTCCATAACTTGCCCATCCTTGAGTTAAGAAAGCTTTAGAATGTCTATTTTACTTATTACCACTAATAGATAAATATATTTTAATCATTATAATAATACAACTAAGGTCATAAAATTAAAAAAATGAATTATTATTATTAATATTGTGTTAAACTTTAAAATATTAACATTTTGTGTACGATTAATTTTTCAATGGTATAAATAGCATAAATCATAACACAACTGAACTATAAAATGTATAAATAACGCCATAAAAATTGATGAGAGCACGTTGCGTGGTATTTATACCATTTTCATAGTTATTTATTTCAATTTTACCCTGCTTTGTTATGTCCAAAATTGTATATTCCATTCAACATGCAGAATAATAATTCAGCCTAACATCGAGGGAAGTATTTTAATTTTCATTAAAGGGAGACACATGGTGGGTTTCACAATAGTTATTGTATAACCAATCCGTCTGGACATGTGTAACAAAATATTTTAACTTAAAGTTTTAAACTAAATATATTTAATTTCGCACGTGTATACATGTGCAAATTCAAACAACTAAAATAGATCTCTTCACATATACCTTTGATAAAATGTATCGTCTCTTTTTGCAAAACGGACTAGATTATTCTATACTATTTTCGTTTGCATACATTAAAAAATAAATTTATAATATTTGAGATATTAAATGAGATATAAGCATCGTGGATTATTTATATAGTAATCGTAGAAAATCTGAATCAAATATAATGAAATGAAAGTAATAACAGTACATAACCAATTTAAACCATGTGCTAATAATGCATTCTAACGATGCGCAGTCGTGATAAAACATGTTGCAGTAATGAAATATTGCATGAGGGTACCGGTATGTAATGTTTTGTCTGTTACTACAACAATAATCTTAACCCTTATTATAAATAGTTGGATATCCGAGACTAGGCACCTGTTTTATACTTCTCGTAAGTAACACGTAGATATGTGATAACATAAATGACCGAATTAGAATGTGTAAGTAATCTTACAGATACTTATCTTTTGCTAGTACAACAATTAAAGATCTACTGTACAATGAAATGGTAAAAACATTGGTAGAAATAAGGAAAAGAAATTGCAGGGAACTAAGTCCTCGAAATAAAAAATAGAAAGCTTACTTTCCCAAACCTTTGTTACTAAACCTAGATTTTTAACAACGTTTTTTCTCATTTAAATTCTTTTACATATTAAAAAGAAAAACGAGCAAAAATTTTTAAAAATTATGTAAAAAATTGTATTTTATTAGATTCTAAATTTAATATTATAATAATTTTTAACGTTATAATTCATCGTTTTCATCATCGTTGATCCTTTAACTTTCATGAGAAACACTAAATCATAAAAACATTTATAGCAAAAATGAATTGAAATATCTTCTGAGCTTTCGAGACATACATGCATTTTTTAAACAAGAGACTCGCTTTTATCCTTATACTGGCAATGTTAGATTTTTTATTTATATTAAGGTAAAAAAGCTCCAGCTAGACGAAACTTTTTTCATCAGAATATTTGATTTGACTTACAAAGATATGTTGGACGTGACGTAATGAATAAACAAAATTGATCTTATAGAAACTCATTTTTCCATTCCCTTCAAATTTAAACTTATTATTTATTGAACATACCAACTGTGAAGATTATTTAGTTTTCTTAGAAAAATTATTTTACTTTATCTTTACTTAATCTTAGAAACTTTGTAAAAATGTAAAGATATTTATTGCTACTCACAAATTAGTTTGAAGAATGTATACATAAAGGACATAAAATGAGTAGTGTAGCAAAAAATGTAGTTTAAACATTATGCTAAATGTGTAATCTCAATAAATTACTGATAAAACCACGAAAACCAACTGCAGCTGGAGACAATTGGTTAATTATGTTTCTCGGAGTATTAGGAACCTGCCAACTACCTCGGTAACCTATAAATTACTAAGAGTATTGTCAGTTGATTCAAGTAGTCTAATTTATGCAGCAGCTGAAAATTCGTGTACTAACATCTGGACAATTATAGAGTTTATCCTTTTTTTACGATTATTCTCTTGAACGATCAGCTAAAAACTCGATGAAATAAAATTAATTTAAACATTACGTTTAATTATAATTTAAAACAGTTAAATAATCTAACGGAATAATTTTATTAGATAATATGTATCAAATTTGATCAATTTAAAAGTCAGGCAACTAATAATTGACATTGTCTACTACGTTAAAAGATAGTCTAGAGACTTAAATTGATGATATATTGGTTGTAGTAAGACGCCCCAACGATAAAATAAATGTTGATCGAACAGAGTCTTGTATTTTCTTCAACAAAATCACAACGCCCAAATTCATATTTTTTTTTTTGTACGTTACAATGTTACTTATATTTTATATTTACTGCATTGGTCACATAGCAAGAAATTCAGCTGTAAAAGTTTGAAAGTTTATTTCGAATGCAAACTTTGTGACAGAATATTGGTTGTGTGCCAACCTACAAAATATAACAGGTAATTTATTAGGTCGGAGGTCGGTTTGAAATCATTTTTACAAAATGAAGATATGAAGTTCATTTTAAAAACTTTTATCATAGAACTTCAGCAATAGTTATGTGATTTCTTTTTAAATTTGTATTTTTTAAAAATAAAATTCATAAAAATATTAAAGAGAAAAAAAATTAAGATCACTTACAATATAAACTATTAATATAGTAATAATTAACTATATTGTTTAATATAGTTTTAATTTTAAGTAACATTTTTAGTTTAAAAATTAGTGTCTAAGGCCTATGAATATCTTACTCCGGCTCTGATTACATTGGTACCCTACAAAAATAATACCTTATAACGTTGAAAGATAAATTAGAACCTTTTGTATAATATTTTCAACCAGTAATTATAAGGATAAATATTATAAGTTAATAAATATTATTTCATAAATTAAATTAGCATGTAATACAGAACTTAAAATCTATAATTAAATTAATAAATAGAAATTATTGTGTTAAAGAAATAAATAGACTTTTTTTAATTACGTAGTATACCAAACGCAAACAATTTAATTAACTTTAGAAGTATCTATTTTCTTAAACATAAACAATCCTATTGGGTATACACTTTTGCAATTTTCTCGTTTTCTTCTTTATAAAACCTTATTCGCTCAAACATTAAAAACAATCAGATGCACCGGATGTTGTGTATCACTTATGTAGACCCTTATATCATAAAATATATTCTTTTATCTTAGTGGGAAATATTACAAATAATACATTTTACGACAAAATTAGTTATCGTAGAAATATTTTGAAATACGAAATTATTTTCGAGCACATATACTTAAAAATACGCCATTGATTTATCATTAAAATGAAGAATGAGTACCGTATTTAGAACATTTTAGTGACGTGCTATTAAAACTTACAGTAAAGTAATAAATGGGTAAAAATTATGCTTTTTTATTATAAGAAATATACGTATTAACTTATATATTTGAGTTTAATTTTTATCTCTAAATAATTTTCAATTAAATTAAATCATTCGAGAATATGCAAATGAAGAAGATGAATCTAGGCGTACGAAGAGATAGAAATCAGAGGCAACAAAAAAATATTCAGTCTATGACTCTTCTAAACAATAAATATTTAATAGAAGAATTAAGAGACATGTAGAAATATTAACTCTTCAAAACCTATTTTGAATACTCAAATTGAAATTCGCATACAATAAAGTATATTAATCCTCCTTTAAATTCTAAGTAAATTCACTTTTTTTCTATTAAATATCAATGGTCCAATTCAATAAAACTAGATGAGCAGGGACAGCGCGTGCTCACCTATATAGAAGAATATAACATTACCTAAATAGCCCAGTTAATATGTTGTGTAAATATCTTTAATACTTGTATATCATCAAAATATAATATTAAATTCAATAAATTTTATTTGGCGTTGTAATGGTAAAGATTTGTTTAAAGTTATACCATATATTTTCATTTCGAACCCAATTAATATTTTATAAAAAATAATGATTATGCAACGTTTGTTCAATGGTATAAAAATACACAAATGCATGTTGCAGTGGATAATGTGTGTAAAATATCGTGACTTCAAATAATTAATTAATTTAATTATTTTGTTCACTATAACTTTTTCCTATTATTCACAACTATGCAGTAATGCAGGGGAATTTTATAGAGTTCGTAAAATATTCTTTACTAAAACCCAATGGCGTGTTTGAAGAGAGTGATAGGGGCTGTCCTTCTACGAGATTTATTTTAATGTCAATAATTTTTTTTAGGTGGAGGGTTTGACCTAACTTAATATTTAACTAATATTACTCCCAGTTGAAGCCTCAAATACACCGCTACTAGAGTCCCTGTTTAAAAATTTCAATTCGATATGAAAATTTAAGTTTTATTTTCAATCACTTGGTGAATTTCATGAGTTCCTTTAATAAACCACCTTTATTCTGTTGAGACACTTTTAGTAAGTAACATTTAAAATAATTTCTAAATTCAATACTGTAAAGACCTATTAAAGTACTTTTTGGTTCTGATTTTCAATTGTCATTTTGCTTCAAATGCATTTCTTTAGATTTCATTCATATTTGTTCTATAAAATCCATTTTTATTGAAACCTAAGTAATAGCAAAATGTATCATTATCAAAATAATCGTTTATTTTATATTTAAGCAATAGTGAAAAATGATACTGCCAGAGAGATCTAGTTGCGATGAAACAAATTGATAACACCCACTTCGTAGAAGTTATTCTCGTCACCGCTTGAGTTGTGAAATTTGTTCCGTGTCTATATGACTTGCGTTCTAAACTTCTACCGAACCCGCTCGCCTGCGCTACTCACACAATTATGAAACACATTACAAACACACACGCACGCAAACACAGACGAGCATAAAACAAACCTTGAGCTCACTTAATATACGGACAAAAACATTCAGTCAGCGTATATAGACCGCCAATGTCTGTCTTAGTGTCTGTGTGTTCGTAACGTTACTTAACCTGTATAGAACGTTTCCATTTGAAAACCAACTTGTTTTCTTTCTTTCTGGAATATATTCTAATTTAAGTTGCCCCCTAAATTGTTCTTTTTTTTCAATCCAGTTTACAGTTTGTAAATTATTTCAACATGTGTCAGAAAGGTTAAATTCATAGAAATCTTGCATAATGATAGACATAAATAATTGCCACTATAATTAAATGTTCTTAATAGTCTGAATTTGAGGAAATTAACATGTCTACTGAACAGGATGCCAGATTAATTGCATTAGTAAAGGACCGATCATTGATCTATAACAATGCTTGGAAGGATCGACGTTGTGTGGATAACCTTTGGCTGGAGATCAGTCTTCAAATGAGACTTCCAAGTAATTTATTAATATTACACTTATTATACTATTTTTATATTTTAACCGTCGAAACAAATTGTATTTTTACGCTTATTTATAAAATTATTATATCATCGCATGTTATATTATACGATTTAAATAGGAAAAATTAATAAGGATTTAAATTATAAGGAAAAAAATAATTAATTTTTTCATAATAGGAACTGTTTCACTGGTCGTTTTCGTTGATTAAATTATACATATATAAATAAACAAGAGTATTTTTTTCAAATATTTACAATTTTCAGGAGAGATTTTTAGTAAAAAGTCATTTTTTTTTATTCTCTCATTAGAAACTTTGATATTTTGACTGTACAGAATAATTCTTTTAATGTATATAAAAATTTAAGATCAATAAATCATTTCCCTTAAATAAATCACCATGTACAGTCCAAAATATCAAAGATTTCTAATGTGAGGTTACAAAAATATTAATTTTTGATTAAAAATTTCTGTTGAAATTTGCAATGAAAGCATTTCATTCTATAACGATTTATTTATAGTATTATAGTTGTGATGAACTGGGTGTTCTAAGTCCAAGTTCGATCACGCGGATAAGTGTTGTCAGAAAGAGTCAAAATAATAACAATTATAATGTAACATTTACTGATTGAACACTGACCACCGAGTCAGTGATCAGGTCCCTTTTTATTAGGAATAATTAACAATTAATGATATAATTAGCAATATTACACTTTCTAAATGCAATAGTTTCTAATAATTATAATGTTTCTTACTTTCTAGTTATTAATAATATAAATTCCTTAAAACTAATATTTACATAATAATTATGAGTTCATGACAGAGTTTTACGATTATTAGATGTGAGAGCTTAGCAAAATAGTTTTACAATTTTGTTTGTCTTTCAATCGCTTCTTACTATGACATGTGAACATACAAAAAACGTTTTTTTCTTGAATGATTCTCAAATTCAACATTTTCTTACCTTCATCTTATATTAAACCAAAATTAATTTGAAAACCCTAACAAATTACTTTATTAAATGATGAAATTTATTGCGTAAATTTCAACACAACTTAATATAATATTAAAAATAATGATATTATAGTATAATAATTTTAATTAAGTTTCATTACTTTGATCGAGCCTTTTTATTAACTCTTATTTTGATCAAAACAGTTTTTATGTTAAATTATCATAAATTTGTTACTATATTACCAATTTTTTACTATTTTTTTAAAGTCATTAAATATCATTTATTGACACAAATATTCAGTTATTCAGTGTTTAATATTTCTAATTTTTGCACCAACATGAATAAAAAAACGTTGAGTTTTAATCCAAAAAAGTTTCATGAAATGAACTATGATAGCTTTTTCTATAATATTGAAAAAAAATGAATTCGTTAATAAATAGTACATTAGATAAGAAAAATATTTTACATAATTAATAATAAATATAGTTGAATAAATTAAAAAAACATGGTTTTAAAAATTAATTTTTAACTTTTTAGTTTGATGTGCTTTTAAAGCGTGTTTTTTTAGTTTTTTAAGACATCGCTGTTACAGTCACGGAGTGTTTATTTATGACTATCAATAAATATAATTTCTGTATCGGCAGTTAGTGTATTTATAAACTCACAATTGTGTCTTATTACTATTGATAATAAAGGCTGTATACCTGCGAATATCGTCATAAAAAACCAATTAGATACCTGTATGTGTAATCCCTAATGTATTATACATGTATATTAACTCAAAAAATTTGAACCTTTAAAGGTTTATATCTCATAATAAACAATAAAAATTTGTTTATATATATAATATTGATGACAGGAGAGCATTTATGGGTACGAAAACCAAAAATAAAATTATACAGGAATAGTTTTGTTTGCGTGTGGTGAACGGGGTGGGGTGAATGCGTTACGACAGTCTAGTCTCAAGGCCATAGACAACGGGATACGCGAGAATAATAACACGTGGCGCGTGGAAAGTTACAAACATACATTCAATGAAACTAATATAAGCTGTTAATAAAAAAAAAAAATGAAATGATTGACTAGCGCTAAAAGAATCACCTAGAATATTCAGAATGTTTTACTGAACGTAATGAAACTTGATTATCAATTATCAGCTAGTTATAAGCTGAGTAAATGACATATTACTGCAATAGAATGTTGAGAATAAAATGGTCCTACGTGTACAACCTTTTCATTGTTTAAATGAAATATTTTATTATTTAGAATCTTTAAAATTTAAGCAAATTTATGGCTAGGTTTTAGTAGTACCGAAATTTATAAGTAAATATATGTTGATAATTTAGCAATTATCATTTAAAAATTAATTAAAATACATAACAAATAAATTAAAATGTTGAAATATTCTTACTCAATTAATGACTGATAGATACAAATAATTAAAAAAATGGATAATATTTACAGATATAGATTTAAATATAATGTAATTATTAAATATGGATCATAAAATGAGTTATATAAATATTTATAATTAGTAAAATAACAAAATCAAATTTTTTAGGAATTATAATTTTAATACCTTACCATGATAATACAATTTAGACGTAGAACATTTTCATTCCAAGAAAATGAAACATTAGCTACATAAAATCTTTCGTTTTTATCTGTCTCTCAAATTAGGACAGTTTCAACTAGAAATTCTTATCTAACCAAAATTTATTTAGTTTTTCTTAAAACCTTTACCTTCTCGTTTTTTTTCCTTTGCATTTCATTAAGTCATAAATATTTTATAATATATTTATGAAATAAAAAAAAACTACTAATCTATCCAAAAAACATTATTTAAAAAAGTTGCGTTGGAATTTATCATTCCAAAGTGACGAAATTTTAAATAAATTTTAAATGTTGTGATTGGTTTGACAAATGTTTTAAATTTCAATGTTCTTGTCCCGTCGAATTTTAACGGGTAAAATATTTAAACATGATCAAACATGGTTACTTTAACATTAAAGTTTGATTAAATAATATTATAATGATTATTCATAATCAAAAATTTGTATACAAATGTGTTTCTTAGAAGTCAACAATTCATATTATGCATTCGTTTTTAATGATATGTAGTTGACAATATTTTACGTTTTATTATTCCATTAGCACAGTTTTATTTTATTTGAAATGCATTTATTAAAGTCGAATACAATACTAAAAAGCGTTGGTTTAATTGTTTCAAACACTGAATAATTAAGTATAATACATATAAAACAATACTGTATCATTCAAGCAAAAAAAATGATTAGTTTTGAAAATTTATATTAAATCATTTACTTTCCTATTAATTATTTTTTTAAATTGCTTTTTGGATTAATTTATGCTGATTCGATCGCATAATTTATATAAAATAATTTTAAGTATTTTTATATTTAATAAATAGAATTAAACTAAAACAACCATGTATCATGTTTTGATAGTTCTTAAATGTGGTTTATTATAATAATCATAGTAATCTTTCTATCTAACATACATGCCATTTTGATTTGTTATTTTTCTTAATAGCGCACACATAAAATTAGGGTTAAATATCCCAAGAAAACACAATTGTAGGTTATAAAGCATAAGAATTATTATGTAAACAGACAGGTTTGTGAAATGTAAAAAATAAATATTGATAATGAATTGAACCCTAGTTATGCCTGCCTATTGAAATATAAACTACAGGCATTTTAAAATTGAATTTTCAAAACAATAAGTCATTAGTACCTGTAATTAAAAAATAGTTTTAGTAGTACTGTTTTTTATGTTCAAATGTTACCTCATATATGAATGCGTGTTCTTGTATAAATAATATNTCCTCGATGATCATATATGAATGCGTGTTCTTGTATAAATAATATTTATTTAATCAGGTATCTAGTAACTAAGACTATGGCGGGTTTTCAATTTGAATTCAATAAGAGGTACAGTCAGTTGTAATAAACAGTATTATTTGACTGTTAAAACTTTTAAAAATATTTTTCAAATCTCCGGGTTTTTACTAAATTGATAAAATCAATAAAATATAAATTCATAATATTTTATTTATAACCCCAAATCCATAAGCCTAATTCTAGAGGAGACAGAAGTTTGACGTACGCCTCCAATAATTTTAAGAAAATTATGTATATTTTTTTAAAAAAAAAACATTTAGGATAGGGAAAAAATCAATTCAGATCCTTACATTTTTCATAAATTTAAAATCTTAACACAAAAATATTTACTTAAATACAAGTTGTACCAGCCCACGCAATATACCCACTCTATGTATTAAAATATATAGAACTCAGTAAATACTTGTCCTACAATTGTTATCCGTGTACCAAATATTTAAAGTTTTGAAAAAAATTAAAATTTTTTTTAAATAAAAATTATGTATTCTCAGTTTGTCAAAATTGATAAAAAAAAATCGTAACGAAATGACACTTTGGTCAAGAGTTATTAAAATTTCCAGTTAGATTTGTAACTTCTGTATATCCAATGTGCAGTCTTATGCCATACGACATATTGTATCAAACATTTACAAGTTAGACACTCAAAAGTCCTTAGAGATATCTCAAAAAATTGCCTTTATACTTTTCATATGGATAGTTAAGGTAGTGTTTCAACTAAATATAGTAATACTTGTAACATTTATTTGAAAAAATCAATTTTCTGTTAGACAGATGTGACATAAGAATTTGAGGAAATGGAACACGAGGAACGTATATTTTAATTTTAATTTTCACAAAAATATATTACTTTTAAAAACTTTTTTAGAATACTATAATTATCATAAAAAATATTTCTTAATTTGTTCTCTAAAGTAATTGATCTGTGTTTCATGACTCGTGGTACCAGTCTTACAGTATGCCTCTTGGTAGGAGCTTATGCAAACGTTACATTAAATTTTGTATAAGATACAAATAACTTTGAGTTATATTTATTAATAGTGTACTATATTCTGAAATAAAAAAACTATTTAGATATTTTTTTAAAATTTTTTTTTAGAAAATGTATATAAAATTTTATAGACATATATGTATAGAAAATACATTGAGAGAGACAGTGAGTAACGTAGTAGTGCCTAAAGCAAACATTTTTAGGATCGAGGCAAGTATCAAGCAGCTCTAATTGCTTAGTGAGAAACCAAATCATTAATTGAAGCCATGTCCATCTATCCAAAAACAGATGTTTTCTAAATAGGCCAGTCAACGAAGGAAAAATGGCGGAAAAAAATTCCCAACCAAATTTTTTTTTTTTAAAAAGTTGAATTAAGATATGTATAATGACATATTAAAAGTCCTCATCGATTGGACTTGAGCTTTTTTTTTTACAGCCTCGCAAAAGTTCAAAAATATGAGCTTTTTTAATTTTCTCAAAAAATATTTAACTTACAAAAAAAAGTATCGTACAAAAGTTATTTAAAAAACAATTTTAAACAAAAAAGGTATCTTATATTTTTTCATTTAAACAAATATTTTTCGAGTTACATTACATTTAATATGAGTACTAAAATTTATTTTCCAATTTTTTTCATTTTACGGTTACTTTTTATCATGTTATACTTACATTAGACAAAATGTTATAAATGCATATGTGTGTATGTGTAAGTTTATTTATTTATAGTATCATTAAAGTGTAGTGTATAATAAGATACAACCGATAGAGTAAGTAATTGATTTGACGCTATATTGTTTAAACCCAACTAAACGCTAAATTGTACATTCCTAAACAACAATTATATTATGTCAATTGCCACCGGAATTTCTGCTAATAATAAAGATAATTGTCATAAAACGGCCTTTAGTCTGGTGCTGGAGGTGATAAAAGTTGTGGCTGCCGAAAAACAGGGCTTCAATGTTCTATTATATGTGAACATTGCAAAGGTCATTGGTATACAAATTCAATAGAAATAAAGATTGAAGATTAAGAAAATTGTATTTTTGTTGAAGATATATTCTATCAAAATTTAGAATGGTAAAATGAATAAGAAAATGGAAAAAAATTTTGTTTGATACATTTGTCAAATAATTTTATAGTGGAGAAATCATTACATACTTTGCACTAGTAATGCATATAACTTGTATTTAGGATATAAATACAGAAATAGGAGATCATGTAGTTTTTGTAATAATCCATTAAAGTTTTAAAATTAAACACTATCTACAGATTTGCATCAAAGCGTTGTTTTTTGATAATGATTTTAATCATTGTCACATATCATCTATACTGCACCCAATTATACACACTGTGCCGGGACACTGCTGGTTTTTTTTTAAATAGCGATTAGTTNCCTGGTTTTTTTTAAAATAGCGATTAGTTGAAATAGTAGCAGTGGGTTTACTTTAATTATTTCATTATTAATTTTAACAATAGAAGTTATTGAAGATACAGTTATAACTTTATTTGACCTTTTAAGATTTATATCATGAAAGTTATTATCCACCATTGAGTTTACTAGAACAAGACCAATTTTAGACACTTTATGACAATTAATTTTATCATTACCAGAAATTCTGGCTGGGTTGACAAAAGAGAACATGAGGTAGGTGAAATGAGGAGATCAGTGACAATAGGCGAGAGTGTGAATGGAGAGGTAGAAAGTTTTAAGTATTTAGGATCAATAGTGCAAAAGAGCAGTGGTATTGACGAGAATGTAAGACACAGGATTAAGTGCGGGTGTTGAAGTAGAGAGAAGCGTCTGGTGTCTAATGCGATAAAAGATTTCCAATGAGGCTAAAAGATAAATTCTACAACAATGTAGTGAGGCTAGCTATGATGTATGGTTCAGAGTGTTGAGCGGTTGATAAGAAAGTAGAGCTTAGAATGAGTGTAGCAGAGATGAAAATGCTTAGTTGGATGAGTGGAGTGACTAGAAAAGATAGAAAAGGAACGAGCATATAAGAGGGAATGTAAGTGTAGCGTCAATCGTGTATAAGATGAGAGAAAATAGACTTAGATGGTTTGATTATGTTACGAGGAGAGAAGAATCGGAAGCTGTAAGAACAGTTATAGAAATTAATGTTGAAGGAAGAAGAGGTAGAGGAAGACCAAAAAAGAGATGGAGGGATGCTATTGAATGCGATTTGAGGACAGTTGATGTGAGCGTAGAAGATGTGGGAGATCGTGTCAAGTGGAAGTTTAGGATGAGGGTGGCCGACCCCAAGTAGTTGGGATTAAGGCAAAGAAAAAGATTAGCAGAAATTCCGGTGGCAATTGACATAATATAATTGTTGTTTAGGAATGTACAATTTAGCGTTTAGTTGGGTTTAAACAATATAGCGTCAAATCAATTACTTACTCTAACGGTTGTATCTTATTATACACTACACTTTAATGATACTATAAATAAATAAACTTACACATACACACATATGCATTTATAACATTTTGTCTAATGTAAGTATAACATGATAAAAAGTAACTGTAAAATGAAAAAAATTGGAAAATAAATTTTAGTACTCATATTAAATGTAATGTAACTCGAAAAATATTTGTTTAAATGAAAAAATATAAGATACCTTTTTTGTTTAAAATTGTTTTTTAAATAACTTTTGTACGATACTTTTTTTTGTAAGTTAAATATTTTTTGAGAAAATTAAAAAAGCTCATATTTTTGAACTTTTGCGAGGCTGTGTAAAAAAAAAAGCTCAAGTCCAATCGATGAGGACTTTTAATATGTCATTACACATATCTTAATTCAACTTTTTAAAAAATAAAAATTTGGTTGGGAATTTTTTCCGCCATTCGCTAAAATTACTCCTTCGTTGACTGGCCTAAAATGGCCGTAAAGCGATAAAAAAATATTTATACTTATCAATAATTATTCCCAAAATTATGATTTCGAATTGCAAAATTTTTAATGATTTAATTTTACCATTTTTAATTTAAAATAATGAAATTATGAGTAGGAAAAAATGTGGTTATTACGTATTATATATTATAACTTCTGTTGTTTAATATTAACGTATAAAAATTCTCCAAAGATAAAAAAAATACTATAATTGTCCTAAATTCGATACGTTAACATTTCCCGACACTTTTGAAAATGTGTGAAAATAACTAAATTTGTTTTTTTAGCCGAATTATGTAAAAGGAAATGGGCTAATTTGCGTAATACTTACGCTCGGCATGTAAGAGAAGAAAAAGCTGGCCTCATGTATGACGGTGGTCGCAAACCATGGTATCTAGCTGATAAAATGTCTTTTTTAAAAGACTATATGCATATTAGGTAAGCACATTATAATTGACAAATTTATTGTTTGAATTCAATGACTGACAATTAATATTAATTATTTTAGAATGAACCTTTTTGATGAATCCCAATCACCTTATTCGCGGTCACCAGATTTTATTAATCCTGACTACTACCGCTCCAAAAACACTAAATATGAATGCACAAGTCAAGAGTCCATAACCGAAGATTTAAAAACTCAACCGCGTTTTGAATTTGAAAGATTGTCCACGTCCGTCAAATGTGGAAATAACTCAATTAAAAATAGTAGGAATGACGACAGTAATCAGGCAGAAAATTGTCAAAATTTTGTCAAGGAAGAACAACAAAACGAAAATTTTACATTAAAAAGTGAAATTTCTTGTACGTCTGATGATAATGATTTTGAAAGAATAGACAGTAATCAGGCAGAAAATTGTCACAATTTACTCAAAGTAGAACAACAAAAAGAAAATTTTACATTGAAAAGTGAAATTTCTTGTACGTCTGATGATAATGATTTTGAAAGAATAGAAGAGAATCAAAGGGACCCGTCGACTAGATATTTTTTCCGAAGTATGATGCTCGACTACGACAAACTTACAAAAAGGCGACGTCGTTTATTTCAACAAAAAATTTTAAATAATTTGCATGAACTACTTAACGAACAAGAAGAAGAACAACGACATTTACCACAAATTCAAAAGACTTCAAATCAGTGTAATGATTATGAAACGTTTCAACCTTCGCCTGAGAGTTCAGTGAATGCAATTACACTTGATTAAGACTCAAATAATTTGAATAAATTATACTTAAATTGAAGTTTTTTTTTTACAATTTATATATATTCTCTCAAATAAAGTTAGTCTAGATGGGAAAACCTGTTCGCATGGACGTTCTTGGGGGCAAAAGGGCAGTTCCTCCCTTGACTTTTACCTTGGTTAATTTTCGTGATCATTGTTGTATTGAAGAATTATTACTCATTAACGTAATTTAGTGGACAAAGTTCACTCAATATCATCTAACAATTATCTCTAGGATGGTTTAAATTGAAAAGTATTAAATTATTAATTAAAAAAAACTTATCACTACTTCGACGTAAAAAATTATAATATGAAAGAAGGATTTGTGTCGAAACGAGACAGTTAATGTTTATTTGATTTCTATTGTTTTAATTATATCTGTAACCTATCAATTAGTGAAATTTACCTTAATTTACCTAAACGTGAATACTCTTGATCACATAAAAAAAAGATGTATGATATTTATAAAAGTGATTATGTAAATTTTGAAATAGTGATCTTTTAAAAATAACAGTAACAGTATGTGTTTAAATACTAGTCTAGATGTATGACCTATTTTGAAAAAAAATTACAAGATATTAGATTCTTTCTTGATTAAAGGTTTTATTAAGCCAAGTACGTCTGTATATAGTAATTTTATAGTACTAGTAAAGAAAAAGTCTAGTAAATTATGCTTGTGTAATTCAACTCTCTTAATAGACAACCACTTAGACATATTAAAAGGTAATTACTATTTTTCAAATATTTATCTGAAAGATGCTTTCAATTATATTGAAATAGGTTAGTCATCTAGGAAATATACAGCTTTTATTTGTTCACAAAGTCAATTTGAATATTGTAAAATTCTATTTGGACTTTACATTGAAAAGATTTATTAATAATATTTTTAAAGGTATAATTAAATTAAAAAAGTAACAAATTATTTTGGTGATATTGTTATTGTTATTACCAGCAGTTCAACTGCTGGTAATTATAGGCATGTATATTATAATCAATGTTATTTTAGTAAGTAAACAACATTATATACAGTAAAGTCGGTGAAGACAAAATAATTTTATGACTTATTGAATATTTTATCTACTATCGTAAAAAATTGAAATTGTTTCAAAAGGGGTAGTATTTTTAATATTGAAATTTTCAAAAATGTCTGCTTTGCTCGTAATACATTAAACATGAATTAACAGTTATAAGCTTTCCACATGTTAGCGGTCCAGTTGAGAGATACATCAGAACTGTAAAATTCAAATTAATACATGAAAAAGATGACAATTGAAATAAGTTATTAAACCAAGTAAAATTTGCTATTTACAACAATATACATTTAATAGATCATTAAAAATACTCTTATATAAGTATGCTACTTATTGGAATAAATCAACGTGAAGAATCTCGATTTAAGAATAGTGTTAGATTGAGGTTGAGAAAGACCGTGATTTAGATAAAATTATAACTTTACCTAAATCGCATTCTTTTCTCTATAAAAAGAGGCTCAAAAAAAAGATACTACAATGTTATCTTATTTTATATCTTATGACCTTTGACTAGTTTCTGTAACAATTTTAAAATCAATACGTAGTAGGGTAATTTTATGGATTTAATCAACATTTAACATTAACATTTCGTGATAGTCCAATGTGAAGCGCTTAAGTAAATAAAAAAAACATTTCGTAGTATTTGCAAGTTGATTCTATTTTTCGTGAGTTAAAAATATAGAATGTAATAAGTATAAAAAAATACCAGGCGCTTTTTTTTGGGCTAAAGTTTAAATTAAAGATGTGATTAAATAAAAATTAATTTATTAGATTTAATGGACTAACTGTGCTCGAAATTTATTATTCATACTTATATGAAATAATACAATAGAAAGGAAAGAGATTATAATTAAAGTAAATTAAAATCATTGACATAGTTATGAGGAGTGAGAGGATATATCCCCAGAGTAAAAATATTTATTTGGTAAAGATACATTATTTTGTTTGGGGTAGTGAAATTTTATATAAATCCCTTCAAAACCCCTAATTACGCAATAGATCAAAATAAACATAAAAATATGGCTCTTTTGAGTTACAGATACTCAAAATATAGCAAGTATTGAAATTTTTCTTTTACTCTTTGCTACTTGACATCATAAATATAAAGCTTGTATTAATCAAAAGGGATTAAAAACTTCGATCGCCTCTCAGATAAATTAAAATATTTTGCAACTCTTAAAATTTTGCTCGAATTACGCCATTGGTTGAAGAAAGTTCACAATTAGATTTTTTTTTTCAAGTAGGTAAAAATCACTTTTCAAAAAGTCAGAAGGTCTCAAAAGCACTTTCTCTTATCAGAAATAAAACCAAATAAAAATAAATTTTTATTTCTGGCTATACAAAACTGAACAACATAATTTCATTGTAAATAACATAATAATTACTATCTATACATATTCATTATTTCTGTAAAACAACTAATAATACATTTACACGTATTTTACTCTAAAAACAATGTCCCTTTTAGATAGAAAAATTTTCGATTTAAAATTAGCCGCAAAACATATTAAGAAGAACGCGAAGAAATTGCAAAAAGAAGAAAGCAAAGAAAGGCGACAGTGTTGGCTGCATGTGATGCGAGGCCACCAGGACATCGCCAGAATTCATGCAGAAAACGCCGTTCGTAATCATAATCAAAGTTCAAAATTGCTACAAACAGGTGCTCGGTTAGAGGGTATAGTAAATCGCATACAAACGGCCAATATACAAAATCAAGTAATCGTTATAAATTGAATAATTTCAAATTGCAGTTTTTATAGTTTAAGTATTTTTAGGTTTCATCTGCCATGGAATCAGTAGTGTTTTCGATGGCTGTTGCAACACGATCCATGAACATTCACTCAATAGCACAAACAATGGACAAATTCGAACGAATAACTGAACATTTGGAAACACGTCAGGCGTATGCTAATGACACCATAAACGATAGCCAAGAAATAGACACGGATCAAGTAGATAAGTTGATGGCAAGCATAACTGATGAAGCCAGACTAGACCTGAAAAATTCTTTACCCCAACCAGAAAACACGAAAATCGTTATCCCACCATTACCACTACCACCTTCGAATACTGAGTTAAATGAAAAACTTGCTAAATTGAGAAACAACTACAGTTTTTAGATATACACGTTTTTTTAAATATATTTTATTAGATATTTTAATATTTCATACATTTGTTAAAACTTTTAAACACATTGAATGTAATTCATTATGTAGAATACATTTTTTAAAATATTCAAATACATTTGATCTTATTGATTATAAATGTGACAATTAATCATACAAAATAAAAACAAATTTTTTTTTAATTCTTAATGTCAGAATAAAGTTAATTTTAAATTGATACCTAAACTAAACAAAAAATCTAATCTTTAATTTATTTAGCTTTAAAATAAGGTGTATAATTGTTTTTATTAATATAAGTGTACACATCTTTTTTTACAAAAATTATTTATTGTTATTGAATTCATGATGTTGAAGGATTACTTTTATATCTTCTAAAAGGTATTATGTGTGGCTCTGAAATAAATGCAGTACTTTTTTTAGTTAAAACATTAAAATACATAAAAATATGACTTATTTTTTTAGGAATTTATTGTATTTAATAAAAATTATCATCTTTTTAGAATTGTTTGATGCATAAGTAAACAAAGTTGCTGTTTAAATATAGTATGTGTTACCAGGATTGTAGCGCATATAATGAACCCATCCAGATGTCATTTGTATGCCTAAATTTCGCCATTCTGATTCTGTCATTAGGTGAGTTTTTGGGACTTGTTTTGCAACATCATCAGGTAAAATTACATGTCTGGAAGAAGCATTAAATTTAAAAGTTTTAGATAGCTAAAATTCCATTAATTAAGTTATAAATTAAATAATTATAACACCCATTAAATTAAGTTCATTATTTTTATCCTACATTGGATCTATCACTGTTATTTTTGTAAGTACTATACCAATACTATGAATCTATTATTATTTACAGATTATTAATATTTAAAATTATACATTTTGAAAATAAAAATTATTTTTCAAGAACTGTTAAGACGAATTTACAGTTATGATTTAAAATGAAAGTTTCTTAATAAAAAAAAAATATATATTGAATGAAGAATAGAAATGGATAATAGTAAAAATACAACTACTATTTAAATATCAATAAAATCAGCATATTTTAATAACACTCCATAGCATAGATAATTACATTAAATTATTAACCTGTAGATATAAATATCATCTTCATATTTTGCTGAATATTGTATGCTTTCTCTTGGCATAATGATAATCTTTTATAAATGTTCAGAAATTTGTAACAATTTACAAAGACAAATTCTTCTGAGAGATGAATATTGACATCATAATTGCCCAGTAATTATACAATCATTGAAAAAAATGCTATATTTTTAAAAATAAATGTATTTGTCTTAGTTACATTTCAAAGAATTACTTATAAAATAAAAACTAAAATATTACTACAGATAATAAATGCACATAATATTTCACTTCTCTAATCAAAATATTTAACCGGGAAAGTATTCGTTAAAAATGGGGTTAATCAACTTGTACCATTATTCATTAGTTCCTAAACTATAATACTTTGATTAATCATAGTTGGTCATCTGATTCAAGTGTAAATTTATATGGCGTTTGTAATATAATTTCTATTTCTATACACAAAAACACTCCAGCATAGTTTTGTACTTAAAAACATAGAGTTATTAAGTTCTAAAGTGATTTTGTTAAATTAAGCTAAAGGTATTAAATGGCAAAAACATATGATTGAGACCTACATCCTCACGTGTTTATGATAACTATTATCAATTTTCTTCGATCATTAATTTATAGAAAACTTAGTATTTCTTTATTTTTTAAATTTTAATGAAATTAAGTTTAATACACACTACATTTTTGTTTTAATAATCAGTCATCTTTATAAAAATACTAGAGATCAATTTTTTAGATGCTAAAATAATAATGTTACGGTTTTGTTGTTTTAGTTCTTCATATAAATCATTTCATTCTTTAGTTTTGAAGTAAGCTTTTTTTTTTTATTTTAAATAAAATATAAATATATTAAATATATTTTTTTTTTTACAGGCCAATAATTAGAACTCAAATACCACATAGAAGTTATAATAATCTTTTAAGGATAAAACCTATATCAAAAATCAGCCCTTTATGGGTTGTTATTGGATCAACAGGTTATATTGGTGTAAAATGTATATTTAATAGTCATAATATTGCCTATTGCGAACAGCGTGAAATTATTAAGGATCCCAAAAACAAATTTGATTGGAAAAAATTGTTATCTTATATATCACCAGATATTCTTAATTTATTAACTGCTATAATTGTAAGCAAATTTAAACTGTAATGTTTGATTTTATGTTGATTTAGACATGTTACCTAAATAGTTTTTGAGCACACCATATATTTAATCATGGATTATTATTTAGAAATTTTGTTATATTTCTAGTCTATTAAAACAATAGACATACCTAAATTTTTCAATATTTTTAATGTGTTTTCACTTTTTGATATGGAAAATTAAATTTATTTATTTATTTTAGGCAGCATTTATTGTAGCTTTGTGTAATTTGAGTATCCCAACATATTTACAAAAATTAATAAATACCATACTTCAATTTGCCAGAGAAAATATTCAGTTCAATTATGTAGAGCTCTCAATACCATTATCTAAATTATTAGTCCTCTACTTAGCACAAGTTTGACATTATATTAATATATATATCTTATTTAAATGTATCACTTACAATCATTGTATCAATATCATTTTATTTATTAGGGAATATCAACTTTTATATGCATTAGTATGCTCTCTAACGTTGGTGAAAATGTTGCAATACGCATGAGGTATAATCTATTTTCATCAATTTTACAACAAGAATTAGAATTCTTTGATAAAACACGAACTGGGGATATTTTACAAAGGTATGTAAAATTTTGAACAACAAATTGTACACAAATATAAATATTTATTCTTTAATTAGATTGACTACAGATGTCCAAGAGTTCAAAAGTTCATTTAAACTTGTCATTATACAAGGCTTGAAAAATGTCACACAAGTATCTAATATATAAAATATAAACTTTAATTGTATAAAATTTTAAGTTGAATTAAAATTTTATTTAATTGTATAAAATTTTAAGTTGAATTAAAATTTTATTCTTTAGTTTTTATCTATTTTATTGATAGTAGTACATTAACTGTTTAAACCTTTCTTATAACAAAAATTTAATAACTTAGTGATTTTTTTAGTTTGATTTTCAAATATAGCCTAGCTAGTGAAATTAGCAACGACATCGATTATTAGTACAATAAAAAATAATAATTTGTTTAATTTGAAACCATATACATTATTTTGTATTTTAAACATTTGTTTACAATTTTTTTTAAAAATTAGTTGATAGTTTTCATTTACCAGAATCTAGCTTATAAAGTTATTATTTTTTTTTATTTTTAGTTAATTGGTGGAATATACACTCTATATAACACATCTCCAGAAATGACAGTTGCTGTTGCAGTTGTTCTTCCATCAATAATTGTAATTGGTACTTTTTTTGGGTCGATTTTGAGAAAATTAAGTAAACAAGCCCAAGAACAAGTAATCATTTTAAATTAATCATTTATGAATTTTATAATTATTTTTTGAATTAGAATACAAAAGCTACTATTATAGCTGAAGAAGTTGTTGGAAATATAAGAACTGTCCGTGCATTTGCTTCTGAACATGAAGAATGTGAACGATTTTTAAGAGAAATTGAAAATAATGGTTTACTACATAAAAAATTAGGTTATGGTATTGGTTTATTTCAAGTAAATAACAAATTATAAATATTATAAGTGAAAAAAATATAAACAAGAATAATTACATCATACAGGCTGGTAGTAATATATTTTTAAATGGTATTGTTTTGGGAACAATCTTTCTTGGAGGAAAATTAATGACTACCAGTAAACTTGACCCTGGACAACTCATGTCTTTTTTAATGGTAACTCAAATGTTACAACATTCCATGGCACAATTTTCATTGTTATTTGGTCATTATGTAAAAGGAATTGCTGCTGGTTCTAGAATATTTGAAGTACATAAAAAATAAATTTATGTGTTTCTAATTTATAATTCAAAATTATTTATTTTATTATTTTAGTTCATTGAAAAAATTCCAAAATCACCCTTGAGTGGAGGTTTGAAAATACCTTATCATACCTTTAAGCCTGAAATTGAATTTGAAAATGTTACTTTTTCATACCCTACACGATCAGATCAAGTAATAAAAACAAAATACTGTGAATTTCATTTAATGTGATTTTATTTGACAAAATATTTTGAAATTTTTTTTTTTATTTTTTTGTAATAAAGTAAAATCAGTTAGAATTATATTACATTTAATTAGACTCCATAAAACACTCTAAGCTTTGATGTGAAGTTTATAATTATAGGGAGTTTTTAACTGGACTAATAAAGTTTAAAATATACTTCAAAAACTAGATCTATAATTTGTTAAAGCTATAAATTCATGAAATAATGGTACATAAGTTGAAATAAAGTTTCACTGTTTAATTACTGTTCTGTTAAAAAATTGTAAGTTTTAAATAAGTTTTAAAAAACCATTTTCTTAAAATTTACAATAAATAGATTAAAGCATCTTCTTTCTACAAACTAAAAATGTTATGTGATATATCAATGCTTTTAAGGATATAGGTCCTAAACAACACTTAGAGACTAAGTGACAATATATATATATATATATATATATATATATATACAATATCATAATCTTGTGTAAAATATTATGTTCATGTTTGTTAATTAAAAAGAAACAAAGAATTATATTTTTGTTGTTTCACCTCCTCCTTTACTAGTTTATATATATTTACCAAAGAAAAAAAATGACTCATAAGCACCAAAATTTTAAAGTCTTTTACAAAAATTGTTGTAGATAGTTTAATAATAGGTTTGACTTATTTAAAATTGTTGTTATTATTATTGTTATAATATAATGACAATCTACTCAATTTATTACTTAAAAAACCTTTTCAGTGAATGCTCAAAAAAAATTTGTTGGTATTTAAAATGTCACAAATCTAAAATACCATTTTTTTCCTGAAAACTTACAAAAATGTTGCTTAGATCATTTTGCCTTGCAAGCATTGTTATTTTAATTGATAGGTAAGGTGAAAGTATTCAACGTGAATCTGTACTAGATATTGGTTATATATATATATATATAACTTAATCATTTTTTATACTCATAAAATTATCGTTGATTTTAATATTCTTAAGTGGTGATTTTAATTAATGAAAGATTAATTTTACACTAATACAATAATATGTGATTTAAGTTTTAATTATTTAAAATACAATAAATTGAGGACCCTATTAAACAACAATCACATAAAATAAAGCTCACTATAAAATTTTAGCTTTCGTGTGTAAACTTATTTTCTTCCTGTGCAGATAATATTAAATAATTTCAATCTCAAAGTAGCTCCTGGAAAAACTGTTGCTGTGGTTGGTTCATCTGGTAATGGAAAATCTACTATTGCTGCTTTATTAATGAGGTGTTGTCTTGCATTAAAAAGTCAAATTAAATTATATAGTATATCAGAGATTTATTTTTATTTTAGGTTTTACGATGTCAACAGTGGTTCTATTAAAGTTAGTGGTGAAGATATCAAAAATATTGATCAAACATGGTTTCGAAAGCGTGCAATAGGATTAATAAATCAGGAACCAATTCTTTTTGCTATTTCTATACTAGAAAATATACGGTATGGAAAGCCAGATGCTAAAGATGAGGAGGTAAAAAATAACTTTGTTATTAATTTTTAGTTGTTTTTTTTTTTTTATTAAAAAATGAATGTACATTAAAATATTAAATTAATTACTTAGGTTATTGAAGCAGCTAAAATTGCAAATGCTCATCCATTTATTACTTCTTTTCCTAATGGGTATAACACAATTGTTGGTGAAAGGGGAGTTACAGTTTCTGGAGGACAAAAACAGAGAATTGCCATTGCTAGAGCTATATTAAAAAATCCATACATACTTGTTTTGGATGAAGCAACTAGGTAAAATATTTCAATTTAAAATGTTTTTAACTTCATTTTTAATTTTGGTTTTATTTTACAATCAGTGCACTAGACACAGAATCAGAAATGCTAGTTCAATCAGCTATAGAGTCTATATCCAAGGGTAAAACAACATTAGTAATTGCTCATCGTTTGAGCACAGTTAAAAATGCTGATATCATTGTAGTTTTGAACAAAGGAGAAATTGTTGAAGTATGTGTGGAGTTTATACTTCTAAAATATTACCAAATATTTGTTCTATATTTTAAATATTCTTATAGTAACTAATAAAACTTTCAGTGTTTTCAAAAATATTGATAGTGGGATATCAATGATAAACATAAAATTTTCAATGTGATCATTTAAATTTATATATATATATATATACATATATTAATCTTAACAACAAAGGCCATGGTCTAAATAACATTTATTAAAAATTATATAAAAATAATTGAAGGGTACAGAGAAAAAATGATTTTTTTTTCGATTATATTGACAGTTTTATCAAGTAATGAGAAATCTATTCGGTCAGAAAATGTTTCATTTTGCATTTTGTTAAAGTGTCTATTTTTGTTTTATTATTAAAATTATAGATGTTTACAACTTTGTTTTACTAAAAATGTATAGAAATATACTACTACCATTTTTACTACATTTTCTTCAATTTTTATACATTAATAGGAAGATATATATCAAATAAATCACACTTTAAAGGCAATTCTATGTATATTATATTTTGATATTTCAAAAAATATTATAAGAGAACCATTCTATTTAATAATTTTATAACTCAAAGTAAAGGACTAAGTTTATATCAATTTCCTAAAATATAATTATTGACAAAGAATTATAATTTTTCTGAAATATAAGAATTGTGATAAAGGTATAAAAGACTAACTACACTGAAGTCCCTTTATAAACTATTACTAGATATTAAATAAATTAATAAATATTTTATTTTTGAAGATTGGAAATCATGAAAATTTGTTAAAGAAAAAAGGATTTTACTGGAATCTTATGAATCAGCAAACCTCCAATAAAGCTAAAGCTGCATAATTGTTAGAAATAATTTTTGTTGATATTAAATTTATATTGTTAATATTTTTTTTTTTTTGTTAAAATTTATCAATTAATATATCAAGTGTTATAAATTAATAATTTTTTGATGCAATTGTTGCTTTATTTGCGTTAAGTATTAATTTTTGACATTTTTTTAAAGTTTTTTATATCTTTAATGATTTGAATAAAAAACTAGTGACAATTTTTAAAGTATTAATTATTTTGTATTTGTTAAGTATGTTAAAATTATAGTCGTGATTAACTCTTATCCTATACATATTAAGCATTTAGTACTTAGTTGTTGTCGAGATAAGCAAAAACAGCCCATGCACTTGGACCTGTAGATCCTTTGTGCAATCTCCTAATAGTTAATAAAGAAAAATAACATGATTGTTTAAATGAAGTGTAATAAAGAAAATAATATTCAAAAAAAATTTATTTCAGTAAAATGGTCATAAATATAAATAAACACTTTATTTTTAACACATGATAAAATTTCACTGTTGATATAAAATAACGACATATTTGTTTAAACCATTATTTAAATTGTATGTTTATCTTTTAAAATCATTTTTCTTACAAAAATATATGGTCAAAATCAGTTTAAATATTAAATCTTGGAAACCTTTTTTTCTTATTACACAAATAACAAATATTTTTCTAAGGAACATACAATAAAATACAAATAATAAAAAAATTATATAATACACAATACCAAAAAGTATCCCAAGTCCAGTTATTTAACAAAATATATATTTTTGGTTTGATTTATTGCAGGCTTGTCAGGAACTATAAGTCTAAACTATAGACATATTAATATAAAAAAAATGTTATTATTCTTCATTTTTTAAATTTCTGTCAATTCAAGGACTAGAAAAGCTCAAAGTATGTTTCCTATATGCTAGAATATTTTTAAATAAATATTATCCTTTGGCATTAGCTGTAACAGGCCGAGCTCTCTGCACTAGCCGTTTCCGAAGAGATTCAGTTGGTGCATGCTGGGTAGGTCTTAATAGTTGTCGAAAGTCAAAACCTTCTGGCAATTTGTTTATATCAGGTGGTGTTAATCTAACAGAAAACATCATTTTAGCTTAAATTTTAGTAGATTAAATAACAATTACCTTAATGGAGAGACCCATTTAGGTCTATTGGTTGGTGGTAATGCATTATTACTAATCGGAGAAACTGTACTTAATCTGTAAAAATGTTTTGTATTTTTTAAGAATAAAATTATTTCATCTTAATTATTTTTACACTGCAAATTGTTAATATTAAATATTACCGATTATCCGATTCATATTTGAAATTATTTTCATTAACAAGTTTTTTTATGGCATTATGCACTATTCCTTTCTGCAACAGAAACAAATCTTTATCAATATTAAACTTAAACCTCTACTATATAGTGTCTCTATCTACATCAACAGAAAAAACAACTTCATAATTTTTAATATCTATGAATAAAAAACTACAGAAAGTATCAAATACATCACCTAGAATACTAAAATTATAAAAAAATCCTGAAGTGCTAAAATTTTTTTATCTTTACTTAATACCAAAATACAATTTATCTACAATATACAATGATTTTTTCAATTAATGAACTTTAAATACATATTTAAATTTGAAATAAAACGTTGCATACAAAAATATACAACTTAATCTAATTTAAATTAAAAAAGAGTTTTAGTTGAAGCTTTATAAATAAACCAAAAAAATTTATTTGTGCATTTATACTTCGTGGGAAATCATATATTACATAAATAATACAAGTCCAGAGTTTTCAAAAGCATTCCCTAAAGTTAAAATTAGGTTATTTAAAAAATACTAATTTATCAGTTCTTGCATCATTATTTTGTTTTAATAAGTAGTTTAACTAAGATTCTTGACATAATTCAACTCAAAAAATAATAACAGTCTTTTAGATCATAAATGGCATAGAGTAATATAAGTTATCATGAAAACTTATTGCATTCAGTTATTTTTTTATGATACACGCATAAGTATAGAATGGTGGTAATATATTTTAGTTGAGTAAATTAAAACAAGCTTACACACAGCTACAAATATTCTGAGTTACTAAAAAAAATATTGCAGATAGTTAAAGAAATTTATGAATGCTTTTAGAATATCATCAAAATTACAACAAAATATCATGTGCTACATCTTATGCATGAAATTATCATGCATCTTCTGAATTACAAAAAAAATTATATGAAAACACTCAATATTTTTACAGGAGCCTACCTGGCCACATGCTTTTATGTCACTCAAGTTATTTAAACAAATAGTTATATCCGTGTTCTTAATGACTTTGTAGAATTGTTTGTTGCGTATATATACCTTTTATGAGTTTCATAATTAGTTAATATAAAATACCCAAAAACAAATTAGTTTAAAGTTAAATCATGCTCACATTTTTGGAAAATTCAATCATGTTTTTTTCTTTTTCTTCTTTTTGTTGTATCTTACATGGTAACACCTTCACTCCGTTTTGCTAAGAAATAAAAAAAAAACAAATAAGTAAATTGTTCAAAAACTTGATAAATGTCTTTACTTTTCCTTTTTTAATTACCTGGATATAATAGTTCTTTTTATTTTCTGCTATAATAATTGGACTAACTTTGTTTTGGTTTTTGGGGGCTGAACTTTCTTTTAACTCTTGGCGATAAATAGGAGCCACTTCACCAATTGGTATTTCCCCTTTAGACTTTTTCTTTTTATGTCTACTTAACCATCCTCGAGCATGTTTCTGAAGAGTTAATGCACCCCATGACATCCGTTTCGCATTTAAAACTTCTTTATAGTATTTTATGGCTAACCATCTTCTAACACAACTCTGTACTATAACTATTTGATGTATCTGCCGATAAAAAAATTAAACTTATTAAAATCTTTGTTAATAAAAAGTATTAAAAATGATAACTACTTGTATTTCATGTAATTTAGTTAAATGTTCAATATGATAGTATTTTAAAAATACTTTAGTTTTTCCAATAGCCCAACCATCCAGTTTCAATTTAACTAGTAAATGTTTACAGTTGTCTCTAGTAGGAGGTATTTTCTCATACAAACGAAATCCTAAGATTCCATATCTGTTAAAAATAATGTCCATCAATTATGAATTTGACATAACTACTTAATATTTTTATTATGTAAATAAAGTGTAAAATAAAAATTCTATAATTTTTCTAAATAAATTAAATGTAAAATTTATCATGATAAATTTAGGTGACTTCTACCTTTTTATAAAATCGTTGAATAGCAATCTATGAGAGTATCCATTCCGTCTAATTTTAATAGTTTCCATGACTCCACTACAACGAAGCTGAGAAACTACTTTTACAGGATCAAATTGTTTAGGTTGACGTTGATCATTAGGTTTGATACATCGAACAAACCTAGGTAAACTTACACCTGAATTATTACATCCCATTCGATGCAATAATTCTGTTAATGAATGTCTAAAATATGTGGCAGCAGTTTGTTGTCCACGAGATTGTGATGCAAGACCCATTAGTCCTGTAGATATATCCTAAAAAATAAATACATATAAAAATATGAAGCAAACATATTATTGATTTAACAGTTTCTTTATTACTTGAGCATAGAGATTGCCTGTTTTAGTAACAGGACTTTGAAATAGTGCTCTAACAGTTTTATTGTTAGACTTCCGTAATACTTGAATAGCCTCAATTGCTAATAAGTGTCTATTTTTTTCTAACATACCAGTAGCTTGATAAGTTACATTACCAGCAAAATGTTTTACTTCAAATTGTAAGGCATTTGATTTTGGTCGTACATAGTAATTACTTCTGATATTACAATGAAACTTTTCTAAAAAGTAAGATTGAAAAATATTTTTCTTTTTTTCTTTAGAATAAATTATATAATTTTTTGTGTCTTACCGACTAAAGATCGATCAGTTGCTCGAGGAAATCGACTCTCTTCATCTAATAGTGCTAAAAGTCCCATAGGCCTACTAACAAGCATATCAAGTACAGGTCTGTTGTCACAAAAACCAACGTGTTGAACTGGTACACCCTCAGATTCATATTCCTGATTAAAATTACCAACAAAATATATGTAATATATAATATAATTAACGACAAAAAAGAAAAATTGTGTATATATATAAATAAAAAAATTATAATTACTGCTTGTTCTAATGCAAAAACATGTTGATTAAAAAAATATTGAAGTTGCTCATTAGCTATATTGATACAAAGCTGTTCAAATGAATTATATTTGAAATTTTCAAAACCAAAAATGTCTAGTATTCCAATTACATTATATTCACCCCTATTATCAAATTATATAATATAATTAATATAAATATCATACTTAATCAATATTACCTATTTTTATGGAAAGATAGTAAACTGTTAATTGAATTCACTAGCCAATCAAATAATCGACTGTACAAGGCACGGGCTATAGCATCTCTTGTAGCAATAGCTTCAGAAACAGAATTATTCCTTTGAATAATTTCACCCCTTGTAACAACACTGTTAACACTTAAACATTCTAACAAATCTGTACTTTCAATATTTAAAAGACAAGAGGCTAAAAAAAATTTTAAAAATACATATTACAATGATGAAACTAATTTCTATAAATATCATTAACTAAATAAAAAAATAATTATTATTGTATTATTATAAAAACGTATTGAAATACAACTTAATAAGATTTTATGAGAATTTGAATACCTATTAAGACTATGTTTAATTATAATTTTGAAGGTTATTGAAACAATTTTGACTTTGTATGAATGATGGAGACAATAAAGTTCTATCATACAGTAATGTTGACTTAAAATTCAAAAGCTATCTCTATAATTCTTAATTTGAGTATGTATAGAGTAATTGATATATAATTGATCACTAAATTTTGAAAAAAATACTTTTAATTTTGTTCCAAGTGGGCTTTTAGTCAACCTGAAACAACATGGTTTGCCCACTGCACAACGACTAGCTATGGTAGCAAAGTTTGCCACCATCTATTCAAAGTGTCACACCTATCAGATATTTTTATCGGACCATTAATGGAATTTTATTTTAAGTTAATTAATAATTTAGTTTTGGTTAATGTGACATTAAATATATAAATGATTGTAACACCTCGTGGTTTATTTACCACAACTATGATAATTGAAGTTGTATGTGGTATATGTAAAACATACCGTAGTTCGAGTTTAGATTAAGGAAAAGGTATAAAATACATGCGAGTACTTAAGCTACTTTGATTATAAAAATAAATATTACAGTTAAGGTTATAAGAAATTTTAGCTAAAATTAAGCTAAACATAGACAAAAATAGCAGTGTATTAAAAACCATGCCTACAAAGAAAGGCTGACGACAAAACTAAAATTAAAATTAAATATTTAAACATAATCAAATAATAAAACAAACACCACAGACGGTATTTGTTAATGACAATTGGAAATTAATGGAGAGCACCAGGAGCGGTCTGGACACTCGCTCCTTAGCGTTGGCTAAAAAGAAAGCAACACGTACTCTCTTAATATAAATAAAATAAATTTTTAATAAAATAATAAAACACATTACATAGATATACTTATAAAGAAAGAAAACGATATGTGGTCTACGAAGAGACCCATTCGATGGTCTGGATGCCTAAACAAAATTACCAGGTCGTTCGTCACCTCATCTATTGGTTAACAGCAGAAATAATAATTTGTTAACAACATTATGTCAAAAAAGGTTCATTCACGCGCATTCCGATAGTAAAAAAAAAAACAGATGAATAGACATAACAAAAAATAATAAGATGCCACCTTCGAATTTGTGACGTTACAATGTTTAGAGTTATTTATTTTTCATTTTTGAAGTATTAATACATCTTATTCATTTTCTTATCTTATATCTCCTTATGTTTCTAGTATAAAATCATTACCTCTATGAATTGGTGTTAAATCAATAACAGTACTCTTATTGTCTGTGTTATTATCAGTAATAATTTCTCCAAATTCAATATCACCCAGGTGTAAGATTGCTGCTAATATACAATAAATAGAATTTACTTCTTCATCTTTAAAGCCTACTTCTTCAAAGGCGTTCTTCAACTGAGAAAACTTGTTTATATTATTCTACAGAGAAATATTATAATTAATAATCCAAAATTTGCAACAAAAAAACATGTCACTAAAATAGTCATACAGTTATTTAATTGATATATTTAATAATTCTTATATTTATAAATATTATACTTAGATTCCAATTAAAATTAAATAGTTATAAGTATAATAAAATTACATAAATTATTTCAAAACTTGCTTTAATACTCCTTACTTGTTTTGTTTTATTATCTTGTCTGTCAGCAGGAAGGTATGAATGTGTACTACGTAATTCTCTATCTAAATGAAATTCTTTAAGTCTTTTATCATGTTCTAACCCATCATACATATAATAAAATGCATGGAAATTGCGTTCCCCACTAAAATTTATACTGGTTAATGTAAACTAAAAAGAGTTCATAAAATTAAAAATAAACATTACTTTGCTTGTTGAATCACCCTAGATTGTTCTAATAAATAGACTGATACTCTAGCACCAGTTAATTGTCCAGATTTTGTCATACTCAGTTCTAAAAATTTACCAAACCTCGAGGAATTGCTATTTATACCAGTTCTTGCATTTCCAAAAGCTTCCATAATTGGATTCATTTGTAAAATACGTTGCTCAAGATTTCTATTTGGTGCCTAAAAATACAAGATTACAAAACAATATTAAACTTTCAATTGCATAATAAATTATAATGATTAGTGTTACATCCTTTTATTTCCCAAAATTAATATGCTATAGAGGGTGGTGGCTCTTTTTCATATGTTAGGGAGTTAACGATGACTAAATCAAAAATAGAGGGGTTGGGTAAAATAGCCAGCTTGAACCAGACTAAACACTACCAATAAGAAAATCGTAAGAAAAATTTCATTGAAACCCTGAGGGTCGAACCGGTGACACTGTGTGTGTCGAAACATATGTTTATACCTACTAGGCAAGGCCAAACCCTAAATTATAAGTATTTTATATGTAATATAATATGCTATATTTATAACTAATAAAATTAATCCATTAGTGCCTACAGTTGATATAGTAACAACAATATTTTTTAACTATTTTTTTTTTATTCTAATAAGTATGTATAGTTATAAAAAAAATTTAAAAACCACAGCATAATGGAGATGAGGTATGGTGGTTCAGACAAGTATAGATGATATCTGACAGCAATTAAAATCACTATGATAAAAACACTTCAATGCAAATATGTAGATAGTAGTTAATCTTTAAAAAGAATTGTTGAATATCTCCAAAAGCAAATCAATTCCTATTTCCTTAATTATATCCTAATTACACGTTTTATGATTTATAAGTATAATAGAGAAATAATTGCTTATTATACCAACTAAATTTAACATGAAATTATTATTCTGTATTTTAGTATTGTAATATTTACGAAAAAAAAAATGGATTAATTTAACTATTAGCTCAAGAACTTTTTTTGATTAACTTATTTTTAACAAGTTAAATAAAATCAACTTTCACAGCTTTGCTAGTTTTATAATATTAAGTTAAAAAATTAAATAAAATTATCATACAAATTATAATTACTTAATCATAAATTATTATAATTATAGAATTTTTTTACTATTAAATAAAAATAATATACATATACATTTTTAATTAGTCGATAACCAATTTTGTATCATTACTCTTTGAATTAAAATAATTTTTAGTTATAATTGAACGGGATGAGCAACTATTAATTCTTATCTGTGCACGTGTTGTGGTAAAAATAAAACCTCACTAAACACTATTTCACTATTCACCTTTTCTAAATCTTCAAATGCTAATATTTCAAAAAGTAATAATTAAAACTAGTTATTGGTAAGTCAATATTTTATTTAGATTTAATTGTAAATAATAAGTTACTAATGAATTTTCAAAAATGATCCCTAAAATGTATCCTTAACAATAATTTTTTTTATAATAAATTTTATATTTTACCCTTATAAGGTATAAGGGATGAACATAAAAAATACTTCATATCTGATGATTTGAGAAAAATATATAACTAAAAAAATCTGTTTAGTCTTTTGTATCTGCTGGTTAAAATTAACCAACTTGCCATAAGTAGGTCTTTTGAACTGGCTAGTCGATATCATCACTGACAAAATACTCAATTTCCGTAATAATTCTAGGAAATCAACCCTCGAAAAAACATGTAGAGAAGAAAATGAAAAAGCGAAAAGCCAGTCCTTTAAATATTTAATCCTATAATATTATAAATATTCATAAATTTTAAAAATAAAAGTATATTAATGACCATCATAGTGGTTGAATTCTTTTAATAACGAAAAATAATTAAATTATAAAAATGGTTTTATGATGTTATATTGAATAATTATCAAAATGTTAATTTATGATAAAATTATGTTTTAGTTATTAAGAATATTATTAAGTAATATCTATTTTATTATATACATGTATAATTAAATTGAAGTAGAGTTCAGCTCGGGAAGGATAGTTACAGGTCTGAGGTTGGAGCTATACTACCGACTTAGCTTGTATCCTATTTTTTTTTTAAAAATATAGTTTTGGTAATTTTTTTTTTGTTTTTTTCGTTATTCTTGTTATTATATTATTCCTGTTGTTATTGTTATTTTAATGGTTTTTGTTATTTTTTTATTGAATGTGAAAAAAATTATTTTATTTTAATGGCTGTGGGCAGAAAAGAGTAAATGCATTTTTTTGACGAAAATGAGTTAATTGTGTAATTGTACTAACTTTCTATTAAAATGTACAGTTTAAAAGTAAAAATTCAACATTTATTATTTAGTTTCAGTTTGGTGACTAAAATAATTAAAAAATGGATAATAAATAAGACATAATAGTAAAACAATTTCAAAACTGATCTCATGAAACGTCAAAAATGTATTCAACTCTTTTTTACACTAAGCAATCGGTTTGTGCATTATCAAGCTTTTCTTACTTGATTGTTCAATATTGAATATTAGGTAAAGGTATTGACGGTTAATATATATATATAATATTAACAGATTAATTAATTTATACTAATAGCTCCATTCATTTTTGATAAATAGTAATTTTAGTAATTGTTTATTGAATTGTTATGATATTAATAATATTCATCAATAATCATATATTAAAATGCTTAGTCTAAGACCTACATTTTACATCATGTGTTAAAAGATTTAATCTATGCATATTTTATATTTTACCTTTCCGAGGTAAACTAATTGTTTAAGTAACAAATTTCCAGATTCAGTTTTTCCTGCTCCACTTTCACCACTAATAACAATGGATTGATTAGCCTTTTCATGTAACATAAATTGATATGCAGAATCAGCAATTGCGAAAATATGCGGAGGATATGCTGCTCTTAATTGATTACAATATTTTTTTTGTTCCTGTTGAATAAATAATTTAAAATTTCTGTAAATAACCAAGATTTTTTTTGTTGACGAAGTAATAACTAAATACGTACAGCAGGTGTATATAATGGAAGTGATGTAAATGGATTAATTGCCAACAATATATCTCCTATATACGTGTATATTAAGTTCATTTGGTATCTTTTTTTCAATTGATTAACAATTCTTTCCTAAAATTTAATTTTTCATAAATAAGTTTCAAGTTCAAAATAGAATAATTTAGTGTAAATAATTATACTTCTGATAGACTGTCAAGTGCAGCAAGATCATCCACGTAAATTGTTGTTGGAGGAACGTGGCGTTTTGTCTTAAGCTTTCCATGTTTAGTAGTTACATCAGGCTGTTTTTGAATTCGACCACTAACTTCTCGTTGGTATTGGATTTCTGCTCTGAGTTCCTGGCGAACACGAACAATACATTTGGATCCATGAACAATGAAAGGATCATGGATAAGCATAGCACTAGTAGGTCGTTGCTCAAAATCTTTCACTAAACATCTGGCTACAAAATGAGTTAGTTTAGGTGCATCTGGCCGAGCTGACAGCGGCAACACAGGTGGAGGTTCCCTAGGTATTTGAAATAAAGCCCTCATTGGATGTAAACCACTTAATGGAGGTTCGGCGACAGCTAATTCAATGGCAGTAATACCCAACGACCATACATCACATCGGCTATCATAAGAAGAATCACGCTGCTGTTCACAAGCAATTACCTTAAAATAAAAATTAACTAATTAAGCATTTACTTTATTATAAGTAAATAAGTCAAAATTCATTCTGTATTCATAGTGGATCGTTTTTAGTTTAATAGAAAATATAAACTATTTAGTTTTTTTAATTCATCTAATAAATTTAACAATATAATTATATTATTCATTTACGAGAAATCTTCTGAAAAAAATTATCTTATGGAACAATTATAGACATGCAAATTGGTAGTACGTAAAATGTACATTAAAAAATTAATAACGTTTTATTTTAGAAAATATTAACATTTACAGCTCTATTTTTCTCAAAAGTCTAAAATATGCACATGTATAATACATTTATATTTCCATAAGAATACAAGACCATAACATTTCCTTCATATGTAGAACTGCTACATGCAACACTACAATTTTTTGAAACGTAAAAAATGTAAAAAATAATGCTACTGGCAAATGATTACTGAAATATATCAGATTAATTATCAAATTTGAGCAAAATAAATGAAAGCGTTAAGCAATTTTCGCTTGGTTGAAACTGAACTCATGCAGCAGGACTGGTTATTGACTATCGTGGTCACATGAATCATGCGACGGTAACACGCACGTATATTACAAGCAAATAAATTATTCACCATAAATTATTACTATTTATAAATTACTACTGTTTTAATTGGATTTAACATGTTTTCCTAAAAAACTCTACAGGAGCTCTCTATATCCATTTTTTCTATAGGGTGTTCCAAAAATGTTTTTATGAAGTCACGTGAGAATGAAAGGTAACTAATAACTAACAGGTAGGTCAGCAATGTGCAAGAAAAATAATCAACAACATAAGCGGTATCATGATTATATATATATATATATATATATTTTTTTCAAACCTAACCTGAAGATATCTGTGTTGAACTTAGTAGAAGAAACTGGTCTCGGAAATCATACTGATTTATCTTAGACTATGGCACGCAAGTATCTCAATTGAATCAAATTAATAATGATACGATACAACAAGCGGTTACTACTGCTTGACCTCTCACTCTCTTTTAGGCTATGATCAAACTATCTTCTCTCTATTAAATCTCAGCACCGCCTTCATAGAAATCGAAAATACATAATACATTTGTAAACCATAATTAATAATTGATGAGCAATGCTAGAAATTTTTATATTATGGTTTAATATAGCTATAGCAGTCCTATTAAAAGTGCCAAAAAACTTAACAGAATAAAAATGACCGTAATTAAAGTTTTTAATGATTTATGATTTTTATATTTGTGTTACATAATATCAAAACACCCATAGACACTACATTACACGTATTTTATATACGTATTTTTTGATCAGTTCGAGTGATAGTGTTGTTAGTTTCCTGCTTGCAAATATTATGACTTATTTATTGTGAGGGGTCAGTGAAAATTTTAACGTTTAGAGAAATCTTGTCATAGATTACACGCTCTAATCTGAAACGATCGATTGTCTTATGATCCCTCTATAGTAATGCTTCAGCTACCAATTTTACATTTTATTTGTTGAATTCGAAATTTCTATTTTCTCGTTTTTGTGAAAATTGAGAATGTCACCAAAATAAACAGACTAGAAATAAATGTATGTTTGGTATCATTAATAGACAAAAGTAGCTTTTTAGGTGCACTTTAATTTAGTTTCTAATGAACATAATAATAATTATAATTATGACAAATGCATTGTAATAATATAATAATGTAAATCAAATAATACATCGTTTTAAACAAATTATCAATAATAAGCTAAACATAAACTACTCTAAAACAAGTGGGTTGTTCTAAAAAATTTAAAGAATCGTCTATACAAGAGTAATTAAACCACAAGTTTTATCTTATCCCCCTAGAGTGTTTCCTAAAGAAACAAAATAAATTTCGATTATACGATGAAAATAAATTTAGTATGAGTTTCTGAGTGAATAAAAGAATATTAATTTTTTGTTTAAAACTATCTAAGAACTAAATTAAAGGAATAGGTACAATACACAAATGGATTTTTTTACAAAAAAAAAAAAATTATAGTATTTGCAAATTTATAATTGTAAATAAATTTGTCTTATGTTTAAAATAATCAATAGTAAACATCACATTTAAACATGGGGGTAATTTTTAAGTTTTTATCTCCCGAAAAATAATCAGTAAAATGGATGTAACTGATTATTGTACCAATGCTTTAAATAATTGAAATGGTGTCAAACTAACCAATGCAAAAAAATACAAACATATATTAAAGGACGAAATTAAACATAAATATTTTATACTAAGTGCATAGTTTAGTAACACATCATACGTGACTCACCAATGAAAAAAATTATTCATTATCATAAAATTTTCAAAAAGAACTAGTACTTCTTTAGAATTTTTTTAAACAATTTTTGTGATAATATTTTGGAAATACACTTGTTACACGTAAAAACTTCAGTCAAAATAGTATTTCTGATTCAAACCATAAATAAAAAATTATTATATTGTTAAAATAAATCTACCACAAAAATAATCCATTTAGCTTAGAGTCCACTGTAAAAGTGATATTAAATCCTTAAAAAACAAAATTAAGCCACAAATTTATAATTTATAATTGTTGAATAATATGAAAACAGAGAAAATAAATATATTTTGAAAATAAAAATCAGTACTACATTTTAAATTTGTTTACAGTGGTTTACCCTTAAATCGTGTTTAAAATGTTAATATAGTTAGTTTTTAATAGTTTAACAGGATGTTTTTGTAAATACATAAATATAATAAACCACTTTTACTTAAATCGTTGACAAGCTGTGACACTATTAATTATAATTTAAAACGTCAAGTAGGATAATTTATTTTCTAAAATTAGGAGTATTCAAAAAATTATCATAACCACACCTACAAGTTTTGATTTTAATCATTAAACCACGTAAGCATATTTAAAAAGAAAACCTCTCAAAATGCAGTATAATTAATTATTTGTTCAGGAATACACTTATTTCTTAAAAAAAAAAAAGAAAAAAAAAGAAAGAAAATTATATTATTTTAAAAATCAATTTTTTAAAAATGCTATCTATAAAGAAGCGGTAAAATAATTTTCTTGAAAAAAATATTTATCACTTATATTATTTCAAATAGGTTCAAAACTATAGAGCTGTAAAGACTTTTGAAAAACTTATACAAAAGTTATCGCAAACTTAGAAAGATATAATTCTTTAAATGTCCATTGAAATAACGCCAGTAAACAGTCATACATTGCAAAAATAAATACTTGAATTAATCATTTTTACAACTTGAAACGTTCGAAATTCAGTGGAAATTATATTAAAAAAATGATAATATATTTTTCTTTAAAAAAGCTTCTTAAGTAAAATAAGATAAGTTTAGTTTTTAAGAGTTATAACAAGTCAAAGATAGAACCCATTAAGAAATATTTTCGCCGACGACGCAGAAATGGCGTCACACACGTATTACATTGCTCATAAATTAACCACTAAGTCTGAAAATAAAATTCGCTATCAAAGTTTTTTACTATTTTGTTATATTTTAAGCAAAAAATTTTTTTTTGGTATATTGTTTAAAAAAAATGTAATTTAAAATTAGTTAAATTAATTTATGAATAATAAAAATTAATAATTATGTTTTATAAATTTATAAAAATTAGAAGAATCATTTTTTACCTTTAATTTATTAATGTATTCTCTAGTTTAATCTACGGTTGTGCTAATTATTGGAAAAACTATTAATGTTGGAATATACTATGGAATAATAATTTTATAGCCATAAATAATATTGTAGGTTATTTAACATATTACTTCACATGTGGTAACTGTAAAATCTTTTTTTTTTTTTGATCTATTGATTCTCACGTTATATTCACGAACTTCAAAATAACAATAAAATAATACCAATCATACTACGTCAGTTGGCCCCAAAAATAAAATGAACTTTTAAATAAAAATAAAAGATAACAGAAATTGAAGTACAAAATGTATTTTTAAATAGAATTATTTTTGAGAATCATAAATACATGCAAATATTGGAATGCAACGTGTTTTTTTTAATATTTGAATGATAATTCCTGACTACCATAATTATTCGAGCATGTACCGTAAAATTAAAACAATTAATATCAATGGAAATATTAGAAACTTCATGAAACTTAAAACAAAAGAAAACTAAAATATTATGAAGAAAACGCATTTAAAAAAAAAATGCATTTGAATTACACCAAGATATGAAAAACCATTACTTAAAAATATGTATTATTACAATTTAACAATTACTAGTGAGGTTTATTTATTAAATTTGCAACAAATTCTTATTTGTATCAATATTATGTTTAAAAATTTATCATAAAAATGGTAAAGGTATATAAAATAAATCTATAAATTTAATAATTGGGTTTGTGATTAACAACTAAACCTCATAAGTCTGTTACTAAATGTTTAATATATCAATAACTTTAGGAATTATTATTAATTTACATTTTAAAGAAATCCCTTATTATATTAAAATAGTTAAGATTCAAATAATTTGTTATTCTCTGATCAAAATATTTTTTCAACAAATAATTTTAATTTAATTTAAAATCATTTTAAGTTTTCATTTAATTGACTAATTAACAGATAGAAGACATTAACACTAATCATATTTTACTTTTTAAATAATTTATAAAATTAATTTTCATTTAGGAGATAATTTTAAATATAAGTATCTATCGATTATATGTTTTTATTATTATTGATTAGCTTACCGGTATTAAAATATATAGATAATATTCATAAAAATATGTTTATATATTTTTTCAAATACTTAGTTACACATTGATGATAATGATACATTTTATTACCTTGTTTATTTATGCAAACGCTTTCGTAAACATTTCTTCTATAACTGTAATCTAATACTGTGTAAAAATACTTATCAAATAGAGGTTAGGAATAAATAACTATATTTACTTGTTTCAACTAAAATATTTATGAATAAAATTTTGAAAATAAATTTCTCATTTCAATTAAT